TGGGGAATGCGTTCTTGTGTTTAGAGTATCACGGTCAAATTTGGGTATAGGAAAAATCTATCATCCAGACACCAGGTTTGTTAGCCTTGCCCGTTTTGATGTGTCATCGGGGACTGTCAGTTGTAAGTAGGGCAGTGTGATATTCTTAAGGCAGTTAAATTTCCTTTAATTGGTCGACTTTCTTCAAGCCCGTAATAGTTGAACAGCCTAACAGTACGTTTCTACACGAAATGCTACGGTGCGCGGTAATTCGCCGTTGGCGAGGCGTGAGGTCTGATAAGCAGGACGTTTGGACGCGAAGGCTCCCATTACTTCACTTAGTGTATGAAAATCACAAATACAACAAATTACGTGGGGTGAAGCCGTTAGAACGTTGACCTCGTTAGCATTTGTGCAACCTAGGCAATAAGTTCAGAGTAAGCAACATTCGGGTCCTGTAGGGTATGTGTGAGCCGTTTGACCTACCTCAATCTGTACAGTATTTCCGAAGGAATATCCATCCACAGTCTTTCTCCACTGATAAGCCAACCCAACCCAGAAACTATTTATGATAAATAGCCACGTCGATAGGAAACGCGCATATGATACAGAGTCGGAGAGCTGTTATCGATAAACAACCAATGATGCCGACTCGATCGCTGCGACAATACTTTAATTCGCCTGACGTTTCGAAATTCTTCGCGGATTCGTCATCAGAGACATAAGCACAGAGCAGTAGCAGATACAGGTATTGTGTGCACAGGAGTTTGCTGTAAAATTTAAACGTGTAGAAAAAATCGATAATTGGCAGGAGTGAGCGCTGATTCGACACGTCAGCAATGACCATCTGGCCCTGCGGTGTTGGCATGTTCTCTTGTATTGGCAAGAAATGATGCTTCGAAAGGAAGCCACTTCATGACCTAATTCAGTAATTCCCATTAATATGAAAGGCGATTGGTATTAACAAGGACTGGAATTCTTGATTACTTTTCAGATCCTCGAGTCATATGTTAAAGAGGTAGCCTGTGAGCGGTTAGATCCATTTGATTCCGTGCTCACTGAAGTAAGAGAAGATTTGGACTGCGGAGTAGAAATATGTATGCAAGTGTTCCATAAAAGGTAGTGAAGCTGCTGTCAAATATCAAGGCTTGATTATTGAAGACTGCTTTGAGTGGACAGCAAAAACACTAACAGTGGGCAGCAGACTGTCAGGCCGTTCAATCTCGTGCTTTAAGAAGGCTGCTTGCATGACAGCCAAAAAGATGGTTCCGAACCAGTTCCAGAAACTGGGGAAAGCTTTACTTAAGAAACAGTATTTCGTGGAGGATATTACACGAGTCATAAGTTACAATTGTCAGAAAAACAAAGCAGCTTCGATATCGTGCAGATTGACGGTTTTAACTATGCGGCTGCTGAATTTTTAGTTTGAAATTACTTCTACGTAAAAAGCCGCCTCTTATCGAACTCGACCCCTCCCCCTCTTTTCCTATTCGCAAGACTCACTCCTATGATAAGACGAATATAATTGACCGCTTGTTTAACTTTGATCCCGTTCCGATATAAATGACAACTGCTCTTCTGAAACTAAATTGTCTCTGCGTCAATGTCCTCGTCGTGTAAACCGAATATAATCGATACCTAGGTAATCATACTCCTCATTTACGGGTTACGGCGGAAGCCCGTTGACTTGAAAAGTTCGGTAAGTGCTCATGACATAAAATAGGCAGTAGATGAGCCGGAGGTTGAAGGAGGCCGAGACAGGAATTTGTATCTATCTATCGGTCTGAAAAATGTTCATGTGACCATTGAGAGGCGACAGCATGGTACCGAGGGGGCGAAAAATTACTTTGTGGACACTAGCCAAAGGTGGTGTTTCGGGGGAAAAAAACGACTCCTCTACAAAGTCACTCTCTGGGGACGTAGCAGAATGAAAGGAAGCCAAACCGTTTACAAGTAATTGAATTGCGTGACTACTTCTGATATCGAGCACCGGTCCGGTCTCAACTGACCAATGACCGTCCCATTCCACCCTGACTTGCCAACAGTTTTTTCTATTTCATGCCACGCCCACGTCTGGACAATGGGACAAAGATTCTTTGCAAAGAAAAAAAAGCAGCTCGCGAAATGAAATTATATTTGGGGGGAAATTTTACCCTTCGTCTTGTTCAAAGTTTTTCGAAAGAACGATGCTCCACGCGTCTGGAGGGCGTCGAAACTTCTAAGCACACGAGGCGATGACAAGGGGACAATA